TTGTGGACATGTTCATTCTCGCTCGTTATCGGTGCTCTGGACTTTTCGATCTCTATTTCCTTGTGCCGTTGGGACATTTATTGTAGCTCATGTTTATTACATTGAAACGTCATTAGCGCGGCACATGGTACTTCGCATAACCGGTGACCTTACCTCCTTGGAACGTTAGTGTGGGCAGGGGAAATCTTTTCGCTTAATTGCGTTTTGCGCCCTTATTTTAAGTACCATGAATTCTTACTGTGTATGGCACCCCCCCCCCCACTCTGCGTAGCATTGTTTACATAGGTCAATTAGTTCGTCTTCCATTAACAGCTGCGGCGTATTGGGATGTCACGCTTGCGGCTCGAAGCCATAATTGTTAGTTATCTGGGGTGAATTGAAATTGTTGATTCTGACTTGTGCTGGAAGAGTAGATTGTTTAATATGCTGCTGCCAATTTTTTGCAAGCAGTATACTTATCCAGTTCCGGCTTTGTTGTTTTGACTCGGATAGAAACATGTTCGTTCAATGCACAGCCCACTGCTGCTGTTGGATATTTTCTTACTGTTGTACTAATTGTGGTAGCTGTCACCAGTGTTATAGTCGCGACTGATGGATTGTAGAGCCGACGGGTCAAAGACCCCACCGCACTGGACAATACATTGACCAGACGTCAACTCATATGATACTGGCTAGACTGCCCACAACATAGGAAAAGTGAAGTGGGTGTGTCAGACGACATAGACATGGACTGCGCTTGAATCGGACGTGTACTTCAATCAGAGCCCTTCTGCTTACCTATGTAAACATTCGGGGACACACCAAGTTCGACTCTGTTTTGCAAAGCGTTTTTTTTCAAGAGGCAACTTTATGCACCCTGCCGGGTGCATATTCCGCATTGTAAAAATAATGGAACTTATAACAGTGAATACACTGGTGGGTTGACGTGTGGCATGGACTGCAAAGTGCTTGCAATGCAAACTTGCTTAGAAACTCCAAAACAACTGTGGTCTGATCGCACAAAACAAGCGCCAAATATGGAGTTACGGATGAGTAGCAAACTCTTGTACTGGCGTAAATGGATTTATACTTTTGTCTGGTTGCTGACGTTGATACGCAGTCAGACAGTGCACCATGAAAAGGTTACTTGAATCGGGTAGTATTTTGGGAACAAGCATTCTACATGAACTGGTATGAGTAGGCACAAAAATGTCAACAAAGGTCGGCTTTGGAATGCCACTCCATCGATAGTTACGTCAGTGACCTATCTAGGCTTTGGAATGTCATAGCGGAGCAATTGGTTTAGAGCGGTAGGACAAAGGCGTTAATAAATTGCAGTATTGCGTAGCGGGGGACGGAGGATTATTGTAAACGAAGAACGTAGAAACAAAGCTTTACTTTTGTGAATACTTTAATCACATAAAATGACCGGGAGAGATCATGGCGGGGTGGAACACCTAGCTACTTCACTGAGACAGTGGAGTGCAACCTCTCACCATATATGTGAAGTTCAAAACAATCCATGAGAAGTTGTTGATAACGACGATCTTTGTGTAGGAGAAAGTAACGTCATTGCATTTTAATGCGCTCAGCGATAGAAAGTGAGCTCTGGACCACAATGTAAGTTTGTCCAGAGGATTGTAATTTGGTTATTGAGGCTGCGGTCGGATATTGAATACCCAAGACCACATTATCTACATATTTCAGCAATGTCGCCTCATCAGGCGCAGTTAATCAGACGACGTAGGCGGAAAAGAGGTCTAGATACAGTATGGATTCTTGAAAAACGCCGGTGGATGTGATAATCATCGAGGAACTTTTACCCGTCAAATTGACTAAACTGGGAACGAACAGTGAAATAGTCCTCCATCAGGTAGAGGGTTGAAGTTTGGATTTTGACATCATATAGGTCTCTCAAAAGAATATTACGGTTTACACTGCTGGAAGCATTACTGGTGTTGAGAAAACATAATCCCACTGCTTTGATCTTGTTTTCCTTTGACGCTATCGCTGAATATACAAGGTAGGCTAGTGCATCTTATGTAAACCCCAAACTACAACTGGGATAACTGCAGATATTTGCCAACAACATCGATTGGTAGCCGCCCAAACATCTTGGCTAACATATCAATTAAGCTGTTAATTCGTGTCGAAGAAACGCGAAACATACTTTTTGTTGACGTGCATCACAAGTGACAACCAATCCGTGGTTCCGGTTTGTACATGGCCGGTGGACAAGATGGCAAATAAATCCCTCAGTCGCTACAGTTGTGTCGTCCACATCCTCATGTAGCCAGGTCTCTTGAAGCATACTTGCACTTAGCTTCGAGTGTTCGCGATAACAGTATGTGCTCAATCTCGTTCGTTTTTCTCATAGTTGATCCGATATTTGAGCTATAATGAGTATGCTCATGCCCCGTGGCGGTTGTACGCTAACTGGCACGTCCCCAGGCTGCGGATTGCGAAATGTCTTCCTTGTGGGGGTAATTTCGAATAAGCCTCGTTTGCTTTGCAAGCGAGATGGATAAGCAGTCGCGCACAATCAGCGGCAGCGTCCCAGAGCGTGAGGGTTCTGGGCTGGTTCCTCATTAAATACCGCAAGAGCTCGTAAGACGCTGTGTCAAAGTCAATGTGATCGGCTATATGGTTACTGACCACTCACCTCGGTATTAAGAGGTGATTACCTACCTTGCTGGCTCCTGGCTTCTGTGTGAACTGCAACCAAACACAAATTAGGCGAATTGGTCACCTGGCTGTCAAAGGTCTTCGTATACAGCAGATGCTTGGACGCTCCAACTGCATGCGTGAATCGCCCCGCTGCCTTGCGGCTTTGTTCTTTAAGACCAAAGGCTCAGGGTGGAGCCCCTTAAGTCAACCTCTTCCTCGGTCTGGGCAACCGGGGAGCTTTCTGCCCACACAACATATGAGACTTCGTATTCCTTCCCTTGACTGCTTTTTCTTTTGTTGTTGTTACCCGTGTGTTGTGGCACTGTGCCAATTGTTTATTGGTCAACTGTTGAGTAATAATAACAAGTAGCATGCTCATGCTCTGTAATATCTTTCTTCCGTAGGGCAACCTTCCATCCACTATGCTGCTTTTTAGTAGCATTTCTGCACACCATGTAGAATCACTTAACATTATTTCCTGTGACCTGACAGTGAAAAGCTGAACCTTCAGTCGGGTAGAAACACAGGGATTTTAAAATATCGCGAAAGTTACCATGCTTTGTTATTGTATGGATTGGTGCAAGAAACGAAAAATTGGCGAAAGCGCGAGTGTAATTAATTCTGTGGACAGAACAGATGAGCACGACCAAGTTTGAAGCCTCCGCGGACGTTATTCGTTCTTTGGACACAAAGTGACGCGCATCACCATTTTCATTGTCGACGTGCTGCGTCGACACTGATCGATAACAGTGCTATGTTCGGGGAACGCGTCGTTCAGAAGTCGCTGCAGGCAAGGGTACTCAATCTTTACACCGACATCACTCGGGAATATCGCGGATTAAAGCTCTAGCTAGAAGATACATACACTGTATTGTCATCCGGGAGTGTGTCGAGGCATCTAGCGTTCGTGTTTTAGCAACAAAAACTCCGATCGAAATCATTCAACCCTGAGTGTCATACTTGGAGGCGAACTCACTTTGATTTTACTAGCCCAATGCAGCGTCAGTGTTTCTTTATTTGTGGTCGATGCGTACACCAAGTTGACGGACGGATACTTGATAAATACAATCACGGCAGCGGCCACGGTACAATGAACAATGATTTATAATGGGTAAAAAAGCATATGCTTGACAGGTCCCGTAGGGTGGTTGATAGGAAGACTACAAGTTATTCCACAGTTCGGTTCACCTGGTTTCCGATAATGTCACCCAATTTATCTCTTGTTAATTTAGTGCTTTCTTTCAGCGTAATATCAGCAATTACTGCCAGTTGCCTCTGGGCATTCCCAGTCCAACGGACAAGCAGAAAGATTCGTAGATACCTTTACGCGTTCACTTCTAAAACTGCGGGAGTTAAGATCGACAGAAAAGATCATGCAGCTGTTCCTCTCATGGGGCTACGCCTAACCCTATTGAACTCGGCGGCAAATCCCTAGCGGAAGCCATGTTTTGGCGTGCAATACGCTCGAAGGTTACGCAGCGACCACTCACTTCAGACGTACGCGTTGGATACAATGCCGAACCCTTCAAACCCGGCAGTCTACAGTGGCACGAAGGAGGAAAAGCAGTGTCCTGTATCAAGATGTCTATCGGATCGATCTCTTTCGTTCTGCGTATTAATCACTTAAGCGGACGACGGATAGCTCACACAATCTCTTCCGCCTCCAAGTTGCCGTGGGATGTACTGCTGGACATGTTTGAATTACCAGAGACTGTGAGTCGACAGAAACACGTACAGGGCAATGCCATAGAGTTACTCGGAGATATGTGCGAACAACTCAATCGGTCCGACGTTTACAGGTATACCCTGCACTTTATCACTATGAGCCAGGAAACAGCGTGTTTTCGGAGGGGTAGATGTTAGGCCCGGCAATTGGTCGCCATAAAAGTGCGACTTCATCGCGCGTCTCTAGCTATGAACTTCACTCCCACCAACTGCTTTACTGTGGTTCATGTGTGTAAAGTTGCCGATCATGTGAGGCGTATCTGTCTATCTCTCCTGTGCTGTCGGCTGTCCTGTCAGTATCATAGGCTTAACTTTTAGTCAATACATTGTCCGGTGCGATGAAATCTTTGTTCTGACGGCTCTACGCCCCATCAATCACTGTGATAACAGAAACGTTGTCCAACCACCAAGCCAACCGATTGTTCCTAAACTTATCTGAACTGTATCCTCAACCTTACTGAAAACTACAACTGGTTCTTACTATATTCGCTGAATTCGATTAAAAACCTAGGTATTCTGTAGACCGTTCAGTTAGCCTCCATTTTACTCATTATAGCCTACATTGTTGCATGTTCTGTATCTTGATCACAGTAACTTCCCTCAACCCGTCCTGTTTCCCCATTCTCCAGGGTATGATGGGAATGAATTTGGCTGGATTAGAGTACTTACAGAGACAAATTGAAGATCAGGAGCAATATTGTTTGTTCAAGAGTATAATATCCAAGCGAGAGCACGTGCGGCGCCGGATATCGAAGCGCAATCGCCTAGCAATGCTTATACCGGGTTGAATCTAATATTGCCTAAATCTGTTATTTTGTACAGATTCCTTTTTCAACCTGTCATGTATCTAATAAACGCTCCGATATCTCTTGTTTTAATCATGTTAAAATCCATGGAACGTTTTTATTATGTAGTCTAGGTATTAAACTAGGACCGCTTTACCCTGCCGCCGCCTCCACAATGCGGGAGCTGTTTCGTGTAGTATTTTCGCGTTCTCCATTTTCTTGCACCTATCTACCAATTGGTCATAATATAATTCTGCTACCACATTTAAAGTACACCACTGCTATACAACAGTCTATTTGTCTACGCTGGATGGAACTTTTCATGTGTTTCCAGAACCATTGTTTAGAATGGCGGACAATTCGGTCTCATAATCATGACTACAGGTTGGGGAGTGATCAGTGTTTCTACTCCAGCAAAACTCACGTGCGAAGGAGAGCAGTTTACGATCTACAACTGATTGATTGGCGCAATCCGTGTGTCTTAGACGACCTATGACGTTGGAAGATAATAATAATACAGTAAAACCTCAGAAGCTTGCCGCCTGTCTAAGTTGAATGGCTTTTTTATTGCCTGAGCGTTCACCACCTAGACCTTATCGATCCAGCCCTCTGTATGTTGACCACTGGTCCACTCCCTTTGGTGGTCGACATACGGAAGTTTTACACTATGTATGTTTCTCATGACAGGAGAAACTGTTTCCGGAGTGGCACAGATCAATATGTACAAAAGTCACCATGCTCTTGCATGGGCCATAAACATATGTAAAATATAACAACATCAGTTTCATAAAATAGCGATTTTGCGGATGGTTGAGACGAAAGCAAAGTATTGGATATGCGGATGTTTAGACGTTTCTGGATCCTCGCAAAACTTTTCCCAAATTGAGGTTGATGTTGCATACCTCATGCTCATTCGCTGCAATTGCACTACACCGACTTACAGTTACACACAAACTAGATCTTTTTAACCTGAAGAAAACATACTCTACTTTATTTGAACTGCACGGTTCTGTTATTCTGTCACATGTTCCGTTTCAGTTTTGCGTATCTATTTTCCCTCAAATTCTATCTTGATTGTTTGATATCTCTGATGTGGATGCGCTTGATGTGAATGTTGACAATGTGCCTACCTATCGAAGCACTGCTACCTCGATTATGCCGGCTCCAGGAGACAGTTGGTTGTTGCTTGGGGAGACGGAGTGCACGTTTCGCGTGACTGTGCTAGCCCCAAAGAGTGGTCCCATTTAGTGTGGAGCGGGCTACGGTCCAACCATCGCCTAGGGTACGCATGATTCTCCAATTAGACTGACCAGAATGCTACTGCTGTGCATGATGAAGGAGTGTGGGCCGGCTCCGTTGATGAAAAGTGGCTCCCATTCACATGCATCCTGGTCTTATTCCTTCGAGTTTACTCTGGGTATGGAATGTGTGGGTGGTGTAGCGCAAGCCATCTATGGTCCTTCTGTATGCGCAGGCGTCCTGTGGCTGTCCTATAGAGGTCACAGGGACAGGCAAATCCGAAACCGGATGCCCCCAACCATGTATTCAGGACAAGGTAACTTATGAGTTTTGTACTAAATGTTTCAACATTGTCATCTTATCTGCGTGTGATTGACAGTTTATTACACAGATGGGTATATCAACCGGAACAAATAGGAGCGCATACTTGTTCTGGTCTTTGGTATAACTAGTGTGTAATCTCTGTTGCGAAACTTTCGATTTAAACCATGTAACTTGATTGTACGCAGATCGGAATAGACCTGCTTGTGTAATAAGTTGGGAAGCAAAGCAATTTATGCGTCAATCATCGCATTCAAAGTGGTTCGAATTGAAGTTTGTTGCAACTCTTTCGATAATTCATGACGGAATGCTTAACTACCAGATGTTCAGTTCACGATCTCTACAGGTATTCCGAGTCATTCTGTTGTTTTTCCTCGTGTAGCCGTATATGGTGCCACTGTATTCGAGGGTGGGGCGAGTGAGTTTCTTAAAATGCTTAGCTCTAGCTTGGATTGTGTGAAATCTGTTGAATATATTCACCGTAATTGTCCGCCACATATTTTACTTGCTTCTGGGCCTGTTCGGAGGTGGATGAGTATCTATTTCATTTCCCGCAGTTGCATAAAAACTCCAAACATTTGCAATGAAAACGAAAATTTTGCAAAACCCTTTGCGATTCGCCAGCCGTTCGGAGCCACTCCTCTGACGTCAAGTGTTTGCTCATTGACCGGGTGCAAGTGTTTGATGCGTGACTCAAGCGAAGTGATCGCGCTGCCCATTGACTAGGTGAGACTTATGAATGGACCTCGAGTCCATAGACATGGGCGGTGCCACTTGCTACTACGTGCTTGACGTGATTGAAATGCCTAAACAGCTATGCAGCACGACTTGGATACCATTTTGATCGTTCGGATGATCCATCGTTTGACTCAGTAGCATTCGTAAACCAATGGGGTGCAGTTGGCGTAGATGTATGGATTTTCTCACATTGCATGCCGAGGGCTGTTTCAGCACCTTTGTCTGATACAAATTAACTCATCTTCCGGAATGGTCTACTTGACTATGTTACATTGAGGCAATCCCGTGGACAAAACGATCGGGTGTCACGATAACCGATCAACGCTGCAATCCTGGTGCCATTTGTGACAAATGTCATTGGCAGTTGTACAAGCGCGTGCATTGTAACAAGTAACAAATGACAACACTTACAACTGAACTCTAAAATTTTTCGGTTATTTTTGTTGTTCTATAAAACGCCCTTTTGAACGGCTGTTCGCAGATGTGGTGGAGTACACAATTAACTACCAGAAAGGGTGCGAAAAACGAACGACTGCCCTGGGCGGCATAACCAGTGCCTAAGTAACTGCTGTTAATCTATCGGTGATCTTGCCGAAAATATTTCCCTTGAGATCGTGGTAAGCATAACTTGTGCATTCCCTACGTGCTCTGACAGTACACATTGATCATCATGCCGCGCGGTAAATCAGTGTCCATTCGCCCGCGCTGGTTTTACGTGCTAGGCACGATCAACGACTGCAACTTCGACTCATGACGGTCGAGTCTGTTTTGTCTTTATCGAAATCGGTAACCACTGACTCACCAAAAGCCAACAGAGATACGCGAGGAATCATAATTGCAAGCCATGCATCCATATTTATTTGTGAATCTATTTTTCAAGCGCTCGCGCGGCACCGAAACCGGTTACGCGACGCGACCACGCGCACTATTCGCCCTGGGCGGCACAGTGTTCCCCCGAATGCAGAATTGGTTATTTCTAGCACCGTATAAGGTGCACTCTGACCCCACATCACAAAAGCGTAAGCATAACACTCGTCCACTTACCGGTGGCTTACTGTCCGCGCAATGAGTTGCATATCAATTCTTTTGGGTGCATCAATCCCTTGTGGATTTTTTAATGTCTTTCTATAACTCTCAGTATTTCGGTAAATCAGATGTCCCAGTTTTCGGAATTCTGAAACCCCATCTGCATTGTCTACGGTTTTTCGTGAACGAGTAAGGCGCGATGTACACCAGTACGAAGTAGACGTTTCCCTACAAATATCACTCACACATGCCTCATTGGAAGCCAGTCGCATGTCATTGACTAACGCTGGACATCAGGTATCGCTGCAACCCCGTACGAATTTATAACCATACGTACGTGCCTACATATTTCGCGGAGACTTTGAATTTCCTCATGTCCCTACACGCTCCTAGTAGTATACGCTATACAATCGGGTGTCTAAAGTGATGAGCCGGAAATGTAATCAAAGCACATCGTATTTTTCAAACAATCAGGAAAATGTACACAGATGTGTCGAATCGCACTACGACATCTCACAACATTGATCTCACTGGTTGCTGTTCTGGCAATGCGTTCCAAAAACTGCAACCTCCATTCAATTTACATCATGAGATTCTGGGGATCCCCGGCCAGAGGTTCCTCGTACTGCATTCGTATTTCGTTCTTCACTCGGGCCTTCACCACCTGCCAAACATTTTCGATGGGATTGGGGAACGGGTAGTATGGGTTCAATCTCAGAATTGTAACCCTTCGTATCCTTCGACTGACGCAAGTGCTTCCAAACGTGAGTGACATGGTGCATTGTCACACACTACGACCACCTGTCGGAGTTACATTTCCCGCTTCAGCTTGTCTAAAATGCCTCGTAGGCATTCGAGAGATAGGGGACCGGTGAATGAGCCACTCCGGGTAGTCATCGAAACCTTTCCATTCCTTCCGGTGCCTTCGCAATTTAACTCACATCTGGTGAGAACACCGAATAAGCAACGAGCGTGTTCGACGCCTTGTTTACGGCACAGGAAAAGGTGATGAACCGCTCAGCACCGTTATTTCACGCATCAGGCTCCGATGGCTCGGCCACGTGTTACGCATGCCAACCCACCGACTCCCGCGACGTGTGTTGTTTTCGCGCCGGGTGTGTGGATGGAAGAATAGGAGGGTGGCCAAGCGATGAGTAAGTCTAGAGGAATGAAGACCCTCGATTCGAAGCTGGCCTCGATTGGAGCATCTCGGCTCCCTGGTTGGGTCCGGAAAACGAAAACGTTTGGCTGGATACACTTGCTCACATGACTAAGAGCCGACCTCAATGGCGTTCGTGCTGTGAGTTTCTTTGTTTCACCCCAACCACCTTAGCCTGCCCCTCCAACCACGATCTCACTATTTAGCCTTATATAATTTTTCATAGTACATTTTTTGCTGCATAATTGCCGGCTGGTAACTTACCGGGACGATGCCCACCCGTTAGCGGTAGCTTAGCTGGCTTGCACCTGTTGCATTCTTTTTCTTCTATGTATCGCCGTACAGTAGCTGAGGTGTTCCCACCTCTAGCTAACGGGTATAATGATGATGATGATTTCCATCCATTTTGAGTGCACCGATGAGATGCAAATTCAGGCCTCCACTGTTGGCTACTTTGACACAGACCCTCACTCCTCTGGGCGTCCAACAACGAGTACGTTTGCAGTAAACGTTGAAGTTTGTTTCGTTGATCCATATGAAGAACTTCCCTTCGCTTTCAAGTTCCAGAAATTTTTGAACAAACTCCTTTCGTATCTCTTTAGTTCGTCATTGTTCATTCCTTCTGGAGTCTGATAGGTGTTCTTCATAGTTATCAAACGGCCATCCAGGTGCCCTGCGGTTGTAGATTTTGAAATGTCCTTACATATATATATATATATATATATATATATATATATTTATATACATATATATATAGCTAGGATTTGTTTGTAAACAACTTATTACGTATGCTATTTAATTAAGGTTTATGTCACCGTT